AAAAGCAATAGAATGAGGTTTGTCCTTGTTGACACACATAATAAATCTAAAACAACAGGATTTAAAATCGCCCCATTCCTGATGTCATGATTTTTCGTTGCACACCCTTAACATGTGTTCCTAACTACTCATGTGTCTCTCCATCAATCACAAGAGTGTTACTGCTGTGAGAGTAAGATGTTGAGTATGACCGTCTGATGTTGTTCTGTACTGCATACCAAAACTGCATCCAAAAGATCAAACTATTACAAATGCATGACTGAAGTTCCTTTTTCACTATGCTTTTCATTTTTGTTTGTTCATCTCATTTCACTACATACTCTTTTCTTAACTATTCTCGAAATGATGCCTGTTTTTCTAATTAAAGCAGGCCAAGTTAATAATAGTTTTAGAACTGTATACAGATAATAGATTTTAGCAATTACCACACTGACTGTTGCAATCATGTTGGTACATTTTCTTCTGCCTTGGGATCTGACTCTTGGCAGTGGTGGAATGTAACGAAGTACAAATACTTCGTTACTTTACTTAAGTACATTTTTCACGTATCTTTACTTTACTCAAGTACAATAAATAGTGCCTACTTTTTACTTTTACTTCGTTACATTTTGCAGCAATTATTATACTTTCTACTCCACTACATTTCTACAACTTCTGTTACATTTTCGTTACATATTCTGATCAGTTTTTCCCCTGCCAAAACGCAATCTGACCGTCCGTTCGTTACACGTTTGTCTCACCAGTGACGTTTGGTTGCCATAGATACAGTATATCAACCCGGTCACACTAAATGCGTCTCACACGCAGACAGTGTGTTTATCGTGCAACTCATACGCGAAAATTTGTTTTTACGTGCATAGGAAACACACCGTGTGTAGTATATGTTTGGTTTGGTTAGGATTATGGCAAGCCAAGAGGTTCATAAGTACACCATGAATTAATCTCGTTTACTGCCAAACATAGTTATTATATAGTAAGGATAAGCATGATGTGTATTGCCTAATTGCAAGCTTGTTTCAGAAATGGTGACATTTTTTTCCATCATTATTGAACATCATTATTAGGTTGAATGAGTTAGAATTAAATGTTTTATTAATCATTACAAAATAGACATTAAGAAAATAAATTGTTATGCAAGTACTTTTACTTTTAATACTTAAAGTACATTTAAAATAAAGTACTTTTTACTTAAGTATGGTTGTCATTGTGTTACTTCTACTTTTACTAAAGTAAATATTTATCTGGGTATTTGTACTTTTACTTAAGTACTGAGATTCAGTACTTCCTCCACCACTGACTCTTGGTAAAACATTTACGGCACTGGCCATCTCAGGATACAATCACAGCAGTGGGCATATACTCGCGTTTCTGAAAAATGTAATTCCCCTTGAAACTGTTTTTGATAGAGGGTTTAGAGAACATGGTGCCACCAATGTCAAGGTCATGAGTTTGATTACTAGGGAATGCATGAACTGACAAAATGTAAAGCTTCATGAAGCAATTTAAGTTGCTTTGAAAAAAAAAAAGCAAAAAGCAGCTACCAAAATGTAAAATCAGTCACAAATGTAGAGCAGTGGTTCCCAAAGTGGGTGCCGTGACAACTGGCCAGGGGTGCTGCAGAATCTCAGCTTTATTTTCCAATTTAAACAGCCTAAAATAACTATCGTACCATATACGTAATAACCTTTTACAGCATATTTTAAAATAATATCAAAACACCAACATATGCACGTCCAAACGAAAATGAATAAGCAAAAAAAACAACAACTATTATTTCATACATTTAAAGTAGAAATGTTTATTTACTGCTAATTGGACTGTTGTCGGCATAGGGAATCGTCCTGCTCGCTCCGCCCTTCGTAATGGTGCACGCTCAATTTTATATTTCACGCAGATGGACAGAACAGGACAAATTGATAAATTTATAGGTTTAAACAAAAGAAAAGCAGAAATGTCACAGAATGTCTTTTTTATTAAAAAATATAAATAGACAGTTTTTCTTTACTTCACTTAACATAAATACTTGTTGTTCTAAAACATAAAACAAAAGAGTCTTTCTTGACCTGACTTGCGATCACTTCAGTAGTGAATGCGCCAGAGAGAAATGCACATTTCATACGGATTACATAAGCAGAAAATAGTCTGTTTTCTTTCTTTTTTTAATTGTTCTGTTTAAAAGTACACATTTTGTACTTTTTTTGTGCGAAAAAAAAAACGTAAATAACGACTTTATTCGACTTTCCATTACTTCCTTATGGGCGCATGCGCGAGAACTGAGACGAGACCGTTCTTCTTCGACTACTTTTTGTTACCGGCTGCTCACCGCTTAGGAGTTTTACCGCCCCCTACCGTATAAGATGACGTACTGATATAGCCGGAGGCGCAAAACGTTCTGTTTACAAGCAGTACGTCATCTTATACGGTAGGGGGGCGGTAAAACTCCTAAGCGGTGAGCAGCCGGTAACAAAAAGTAGTCGAAGAAGAACGGTCTCGTCTCAGTTCTCGCGCATGCGCCCATAAGGAAGTAATGGAAAGTCGAATAAAGTCGTTATTTACGTTTTTTTTCGCACAAAAAGTAGTCTCGTCGCTTGATAAAGTTATAGTTGAGCCACTGTAGGCACATGGAATATTTAAACCTTTTCTTTTAATGACTTTCTGGGCCGTCAAGAGGCAGTCCCTCAGGCTGTCTATGGAAGAGTGATCCAGCCCTCAGATTCAATCAAAAATATCTTTATTTGTGTTCCGAAGATGAACGAAGGTCTTACGGGGTTGGTACAGCATGGGGGTGAGTAATTAATGACTTAATTTTAATTTTTGGGTGAACTAACCCTTTAACCCTACACTGCCGCCCATAGGTTTGGCATAGATATGATGGCGCTCGATGGCGTATGTACACGGGTGTGTGCACGAAGTTATTATTGAAAACGGAGAGGGGGGAATATATTCGTTTCTCTAAAAACCTAGCTTTGTGTAAACGTGGCCTGATATTTTTCAAATGTCTAAAGGGGGTATGGATACGACGTTTCAATATACTGGTATAAAATGCATTTTCTGAGAATTTACATTTCAAGCTTTTTACCTCAAATGTCACATCCACGCTGGAATTGGCCATTTTTAAAGAATTTATCCTCAACTAGTTTTGTGATGTAGGTCTACGTATTTTATAATGTTAACTTAAAATAATACTAATAGTAATTTAAAGATGTGGTAGCATTGGATCTAGACGGGAAGGATAACTCTGAACTCTGAAGTGGACTCTGACTCTGATGTGACGTGATTTTGCTTTCTCACACACATTTCTGTTTCATATCGCATGTCAGCCATCATTTCTACTTAAGAAAATGACAAAAATAGTAACGCACAGTAACTTGGATAAGTAACTTTAAACTGATTACTGGTTTAGAAATAGTGACGTGTTAGATTACTTGTTACTGAAAAAAGTGTTCAGATTAGAGTAACCCGTTAACGCGTTACCGACATCACGAATTGTATATATGTACATATGTTTGTTTAGTTTAATTGGGTTGGGTTGCCGTGGAAAAAAAAAAACACTACAAAGCGGTGCCATGCTTTCAAAAAGTTTGGAAACCACTGATGTAGAGGATGAGTCCTAACTATAAGTATGAGAAATAGTAACAGTGATGCATCACTAACAAGTCGGAATGTAATCAGTCTGGACTCTTTGCTGCATCAGATTAATATGCGTTTGTAAGCCGCCTTATGCTGAATTCTCAAACTAAAAGCAACAACAACTAAAACCAGAAAGTTCTGGGCCTAGAGCAAAAAGCTTTGAAGACAGTAACAACCCAGCTAACCATTTACTCATTAAACTCATTAAAAACAAGTGTTAAGGCAAACACTCAAAAACATAACAATACAAACAGACAACGAGGTGAAGAAAACGAAATCATCCGAGACTCTGAAGAAACCCGTGAGAATACACAAGAATATCTTCAGCTCTTGGGCAGGGAGTGGCTCAATTCACAGAGTTCTGACAAACAGGTCTTGCCGTTTTTAGCATGACTGCGGTCGCCGCCATCACAAATGCCTTTTTCCCGCTCAAAGAAGAAGGGCGGCCGTGGCGCACAGTGTGGAATTACTTTGAACCTATACTTTGAAAGTCAAGTTCTTATGCAACTCAACTCCACCAAACTCCACTTCTTTCTTCTGTCTCCCTCACACTGTCTTTGTTGTCTTTTCATATGACATGGCATCAGAGCAAGTGGACCATTCCCAAACTATTGCAATTTGAATGACTACGGAGTAGCTTCTTACTGTGTTTATACATTTTTCAAAGCCCAGAAGTTCTCTCTGGCTTTAAAAGAACGAAGATGAAATCAAAACTAAATCAGCAGAAGCCTCTTCATGTCCTAAACATCTTCAAAACAGCATGGTAACGCATAAAGCATTAGGGCCTTTTTATTTTTTATTTAATCTTTAGCGCTAAGCTAAATCTGCAGACAGCATTTATTTTTTGAGCCCACAGACGATTAAGCTTACAGACAACCACAGAAAAATAAATGAAAGAAATCCATCAACTACACAACTGGGGAAGATAAAAGACTGGCCGGGCCGGCATAGTCAGTGACTTCATCAACCTGCTTGATGAATGAATGCAGAACTAGCGGCAGAACACCCAAGACGATCTGCGGCAAGGTTTATTAATCACGCACTAATGAGGACACCAGAGTACTGATATTTAAATCTCTAAACGATTCTCATGAGTGGGGAGAAAACAGCAGGTTATTGCAGTTACCCACTCCTTCACACCCACATTGCAAGAGTGGGAATATCAATACATGGAGGATCATCAGCAGCCTGAAGCCTAAAAAAAGCTTCCCACATAAGCAAAGGTCAACATGTATGACACACACACACACATACACACACTCTGAGCTCATAATAATGATGCATCTACTAGCGTAAATAAAGACCCTCACAGATTATAAATCACTAATACCCTATCCAAAGGCCTTTACAGCAGTGAACTTAAAGGATATCTGCCGTCCATGCTTGTCAATGGGCCTACGGTGCGGTGAGTTGATCCGATTGCGGTCTCGATGGACCCTCTCCACCAGACCATGGTGTCTAGTCCCTCGCACAGAGTCCAGACCGGAGGGAAACCCCCCCTGTGGAAAAATAAAATGTTGGTTAAGACTCTGCACACAAATGCATGAATCTGTTTTAAACACCTTTAATAGTAACAGCCTAAAAACTGTCAGTGAAAATACAGTGTTTATAATTCAGGACTGATAAAGCATGCATAATAATACACACAAAAGTATTCCAAGTGTCACCATTAGCCTGCATCCCCCAGTGTATTCAGTCAACTCCAAAGTGCTTTTACCTCTCTAGGTTTCGTTTCTCAAGGAAGACAAAAAGTAGGGATCACTGCTCGGAGTCTCAAAGAAGCTTTATTCAGAGCAACAAGAGCACTTTCACCTGAAGGTATACAACACTGTTCTCCATAGGGGATAGACACAGATACAGTTCTTCGGCTCTTGGAGCGCACCGCTGTATCAAGTGTACTTGTGGGGATAGCCGTGTACTGAAGGAGTAGGCGAAGTGAGGGCAAACTAAGAGCTGAAGACAAACACGCTCTTTGTTTAATAAGGAGAAGGTTTGCAATTACCATCTCTTGACATCGTTTATCTGAGGGTAGAAAAGCGGAGTATATGGCTGGAGATTATCTTCTCCTAAATGAACATGCCTAACTGGACAGATTTAGTAGACTTTGAGAAGTGGATGGAGGACAACCCGGGTACCTGGAAATCAGTGCTGGCATTGCCTATCTGGTTGACGTTGGGCAGCGAGCCACCGTAGTACTGTGCCCGGTTCTGAGACAGACGGAGCTGCTGGATCTTCTGGAACTGCACCTTTAATCAAGAGGAAGACACAGTGAATGCATTTGATTAAAAAACAGGAGAGTGAGAGTTTTCCCAGGCATTTTATAAGGTGTTGCTATAATAACATATGTATTTAACTAAGGTGGAAATTCTTGGAAGTGTACCTCTGAGCCCAAGCCGGAGGACAATGTGGATTTTGTTGTTCGGCAAATGTAAACAATGAAAATTATCAATTCTGATCAGGCACAAGCAAATCAGGAGGTGTTCCTTCCTCCCACTAACCAAAGGACAAAATTTGAATCTCAAAGACTGACCTCATTTAATGATATCAATGGGTTACTACACATAAGCTCAAGGCCTCTTTTTAATCCAACAGACTGACATTAAGCCAGAGCGTAAAACCTGAGCTACGTCCTGCTTAGTTGTAAGGGCTACATTATATATATATATATATATATATATATATATATATATATACAGTATATATAGGATAATCTGAAACACATCGCTGCTAAGATATCAATGAAATACAAGAATTACATTGAAACACAAATTGAAACCTATTTTTAAAGCTGCTCTTTAAAATTGCGATGAAGCAGAAGTAGCAACAGATCTTCTCCTTCATACACATGAGTGAAACGGATTGTCGAAATGTAGGTGAGACTTATATCTATTGGTGGTTGATGAGTGGCATACATCACCAGAGGGAAGTTTTTCAATGTTATAAATAATTAATAAATAATTGAAATGTCTCCTTGTGATTTTTCAGCTGAACGTCAGCTGCAAAGATGAAGCTGATGATGGTGACTCGCATAGTGAATGCACCTATACAGAAAACTGCACATTTCATATGGATTACATAAGCAGAAAGTATGTCTTTCGTTTTGAATTGCTTTAATAAAAGTGGACATTTCAATATTTCTAAAGACATACATCTCATGTCAGTGAGGCAAGTAGCCTATAAGCTGAGTTTCGGATCATTTTTGTAAAGTGCTCCATGCAGTTCATGGAGACCGAGACAGCAGAAAGCACATCCTGTTTGATTTCTTTATCTTCCAAAAGCAAGTTTTCATGTTACTGCATTGCCTCCATGTCATGCAGTAAACACGCTAAACTGTAGCTTCCCCACACTCCGCACAAACACTTGGATATGTGCCTAATAGTAGGGTACATCTAGGTTAATGTTAGAGCGAGCCGCCATATGAAGTTGCAACCTAAATGTTTCAAATGATAAGCCACATTTGAGATTGATGTATGATAGATGAACGTTTGGATTTCCAGCCCAACATACAGTAACAGCCACAAATAAACCACCGTCTGTTCCTCACGGGTTGCGTGATACGGAGTTTTTTTTCTGCGACTAATACAATCTGGGTCGACTAAGCCTCTTCTAGACAACTAACGGTTAGCCGACTCTTAGGGGGCAGTGCTATTGATTATCATCTCTATCATGGCAAAACTTTCAACTGATTTTACTGACAAATAATTTTCTGAGCACACTCGAATCGAAGACTGCTGTCACACACAAACTCAGAATGCTGTCACACAGCGCGCGTGTACTGAACTAAGAACTTTTTTACATTTACATTAGGGATGCACCGATATGAACATTTTGGCCGATACCGATAATTGATAACTGATCAATAACTGATAATTCATTATGTTTGAAAGCCGATAACCGATATATCGGCCGATAAACTTAAATCCAAATTTTTTATCTAATTTTGAGAGCCTGATTACAAAAACAAAAGTCGCATCCATGTCCCGAGCGCACAATTGTAATGATGCTATCATTATAGTGTTGTATAGCCGATATGACAGATTTGCGCGGCACATGTTGTACCGAACCGTATTTTCATTCTTTGAAGAGATTTCAATCATATTTCAAGAAATTCAAAAATATAACAGTGCTCAACAAGTGTCTCAGCTGAAGGGAGTAATAAATTATTTATAGGCTTTAATATATCGGCCACATTTTCTTACCAGGCCGATAACGACAACATTAAAAATGAACATATATTGGCCGATACCGATATGCTGGCTGATATATCGTGCATCCCTAATTTACATTTATTCGTTTTATCCAAAGCGAGTCGACTTACAATTGCTATATATGTCAGAGGTCGCACGCCTCTGGAGCAACTAGGGGTTAAGTGTCTTGCTCAGGGACACATTGGTGTCTGGCAGTAGATTCGAACCCGGGTCTCTCACACCAAAGGCATGCGTTTTATCCACTGTGCCATCACCACCATTATTTTTTACAATAAAATAAAGTAAAACAAAATTTAGGTCAAGACAGCTTGCTTTCTTGTGACATATTGGCATAGCATTTGATTCGAAAAAAATCTGTTCAGTTAATCCTTTTGGCTCGTCTTAAAATAATTAAAAAAAAAAAAAAACATTACCGATTAACTGTGCAGCCCTAATTAGAGGTCAGAAATTCATATATCATGGCTTTGTCCACACTAGCATCTACCAACATAACCTCACTCTAGATTATTGTGTTTAAAAACATGGGCTATAATTAAACAACAAAACACAAAATATTCTCTCACTCATCAGACACACCGTTTCAAAGCGCAAGCAAGATGCCGCTTCAAATCCAGTAGACACTCTTCCAGGCAGACAGCTCAGAAACGCAGGCTTGTTAATAAACAAGCTCAGATCCTCGTTCTCAGCACACACTCTGGGGTCATGGATTCTCACATCCAGCCTTTCAATGTACAGCGTTATCAAAACAATGACACCCCAGCTGTGGAGTAGGACCAAGCTGCTTAATGAAGCCGAGGATTTCCCTGGGGAAGTGTGCTTAAGCTTATGCTCTTCCTCTCCTCTGTCGACAACACAACATTGCAGAGGTTGGTTAATACATGGGGTGGGACCAATATGAAAAATTTGGCCCATACTGAAAGCCAATTATTCTTCGTGTTTGAAAGCAGCCGATAACCGATATTTTGGCAGATAAATCGAAATTTGTATTTAAAAACAAAAGATTTACCATTAAAATAAATGTCCAAAGCACTTCAACATAAATCAAACATACAGCATTAGCCTAGTCTATCTATTGCCTTACAAATAAACAAAATAATGCCTAAATAACGAAAACAAACAAGCCGTTGGACAACATTACTTGAGTATAAAGAATCAAAATGCATGTGCCATGGATAAATGCAATGGAATAGCCTCCACACGGACAGTAATGAAATTATTTAATGAAACCATATTTTTGGTGAAAATGACATGAGAAAAGTAAAAGAGCTAGTTCTTAATAATAATGCATTAATATCTTTGAAATAGAAACATCTGAAAATAATATTACTGTTTCAAATAACAGCATTGCAGTTTGAGCTGTGTGCAATGAAGCCGAAGAGCTGAATGAACGCCGGGAACTTAAGCTTTCTGTTAGCGGGTAAATTAAATCAACGAAACGTATCCTATTTGAGTTTAATTAGATACTTATAAAACAAACATATTACAACATATATCTGCACAAGTGAACTTGAACTAATTTGCGTGTTTATCAGAATGAACTCCTGCTGCTCTCCCCCTAATAATGCACTGAAACACAGTGACCCAAAGAATTCAATATTACAATAGTGTTCCCATTATAATGTTATGTAATATGACAGTCCCCCAATCATAGCTGTTTATGTTGTGCATTACCATTTGAGCTAGATGCTCTGAATGCATATATAAAAAATAAACAATGTTACTACAATTTAGATTATTTTGCAAAAAACAAAAGGCTGTGAACTCGACTGTGCTGTCATGAAGGTGTAACTCTGTTCTGGATGTGCTCTTCCCATAACAATGAGCTAAAACATAAAAGCACAAATAATTCACAACATTCTTATAAAGTAGTGTTTTTATTATAACTTTATATTGCTTATATGACAGACTTGTGCTGCACATGTTGTACTTAAGTATATTTTCCTTTTCAAAGTGATTTCAATCATATTTCAAGCAGTTCAAAAGCATCATGGTGAACACTGGGCATCTGAAGTGTCTCAGCTAAAGGAAATGATCCATTATTTATCGGCTTTGTATATCAGCCAAATTGTCTTATTGGGTCGATAATTATCACATTAAAAATGAACATAATACCAGCCAAAACCAAAAGGGTGGAGTTGCTACACTCCAAAAAATATTTAAGCCTAAATTTAAGATTACATATTTGAATTGCACATAAAATGTCCATCCATTTTGATTACACAGTTTTAACATAAACTAATAATTTTAATGTGAAGCATGTGCGTCAGACATATAAACATTAGTTAAGAAAAAGAGATTTCTGTAATGGTACTACTAATAATCTGATTTCATATTTTAAATACACAGCAAACATGTTGATATATTTCTCATTAATAAATCTAATTTATTTCAATCTCAATTTTAACTAACTGAATATGTTACTACCAAAAAGCATGCACAGAGAAGTCAAAATTAAACATGATTTAATGACTCGTAAATGTAAGTACACATTGATGGCCTAAGACACGAAACGAACGGTTTGTGTGAGAAAACGAACAGTATTTATAACGTAGTGACGTCCAAGTGATCTGAATCAGTTGTGCAATGTCCAACTGAACCGAACTGAATCAGTTCAATGTTACGCCGGAAGTGATCGCTTGCGTGTGACGTCACTCAATATTTACACGGAGATTTCGGAAGTTTTACCTTTTACTAAACATATTTAGATATATCGAAATCGTCTTCCATTGCGGTTTCCCGGATATCTAAATATGTTTAGTGAAAGGTAAAACTTCCGAAATCTCTGTATAAACAAAGAGTGACGTAGGTGCGCAAGCGATCACTTCCGGCGCATGCGCAGACCGAAGCGCCCGTGCAGTCAGGTCATTTTGTCATGGCTATGATTACAAGAGGTAAAAACGATATAAATACTGTTTGTTTTCTCACACAAACCGCTCGTTTCGTGTCTTAGGCCATCAATGTGTACTTACATTTACAAGTCATTGAAACATGTTTAATTTTGACTTCTCTGTGCATGCTCTTTGAGGTGGACCCCCTTA